TATTTGCATTTTCTGCCTTTTGACATATAGGTGTCATGGCTTTGGAAGCGGACTACTGATTGGTAAAAAAGTTTCCCTCTTTCTCACAACTGTGTTTGGCATCTGCAGTGGTTGAAACAGCTGCATTAAATCTTTCTTAAGTTGATATTTGATAAGAAAACTTTGACGTATACTTCAGGTATCACCGTGCATAATTCAAATGAAACGCTGAGTCATCAAGCATTAAGTAAGTGTTACATTTTTGGTTTATTTCACTCATATACGATATTAGTGAGCTATAGAACGTCACAGTTATAACAAAGGCTACAACAAAGAATAAACAAAATCTCTTGGTATTGACCATCCTTACCGGCATATCATATGTAAATCTTTCAATGTTTACATCTATCAGATTCACCTTTGACCTATAGGCTAAACAAATAGCCTGTTCACATGGATGGGCTCTTTTGAACATACTGGAAAGTTGAATTTTTATTTTCGAACTCTATTGGATCAATGAACTCAAATGAAAATCTTACTGCTTCCCTCATTCACAGCGGAGCGAAATTTAAGACAAAATTGCTACATGTAGCAAAGTTAACTGGGCCTTCTTATTCTACTAGTCACCTATAGCTAGAAACTGCCACAACTTGGCTAAAGTGTAACCATCAGAACCATGTAACCATCTCTGCTACATTTGAAGACTACTGCACAAATGAAGAGTAAAACTCAAAATAACCTTAACAACTAGTCAATTTCATTCTTCTACACATAACTGTGTAGTATAATACTAATAAAACGTTTGTTACTAAAAGAAAGTATAATTCTAATAAAATGTTAAGTGCAGTTTTTGAAGCTAGCTATGATGAAAACTGCACCAACAAACAGTAACTTAACTTAACATACTCTACTAGTATAATGCAACGTGCAACTACTACTACTACTACTACTTACATTTGAACATAAAGAAGGGATCTAGTTGTTAGTACATGTAGTTAAGTTATATTCATGGCATGGCAATGTAGACAATGTGGATAGCTTTGAAATGACTCTGATAATGCAGATTTGCCATCCTAAACCACCAGTGCACTTCTCAGGTGTAAGAGTACACAGTAGTCACATTTCATTTTCAGTCACCTTGGTGGTCTCTCCCAGACTGTCATGTAGTTGTGGCAGAGGGTGGTCAGAAAAGTCCATCTGTCCTACTTATAGAGACATTGGTCATGTACTTTCCTTCACTTTTGGGTACGCACATTTGCCAAACCTCAAGGGCAGATCATGATGCGAGGGGCCTCTGCCTGAATGTAGGCTTCGAAGACAAACTTATTGTCCTTGATGTAGCCCCTCTCTGGATCACGTGCCACATCCCACAGTACGAACTGCTGGAACCCTCGGTTGTTCTCCTTTCTGTAGAAGACACGTTGGATCTTCTTTGTGATATTCTGCACACCTTCCTTCTGCGAGGCCAACCGCAACTCGACCGATGCCTTGCAGGACCACAGGCTGTTGGAGTCGGCATCACATCGGAGGTAGACAGAGAGGGCCTTGATGCGGGGCTTGTTTTCGTCAGGGACGATGCGCCGGACCAACAGTTTCCACGGCATGTTCCGGATGAAGACTGCATTACTCACCTGTGCAGGGTTTGAGCTGAAGTCGAATTTATCGATGGTAAAATGGAGAGTCGCTTCGGACTGGAACATTTCTCCGCGGACAATCTTGCAAAGGGTTCCTCTGCTTGAAGGGGTGCCTGCCTTCACGTAAGCCTCGAGCACGATCTTGTCATCCTTGATGTATCCCTTTTGAGGGTCGCACACTTCATGCAATGGCATGAAATCCAGGTGTCCCCACCTGCGACACTCGCTGAAGAACGGGTAGTCAATCTCCTTCTTAAACACCTTGACCCCAGCCTTCTGTGGTATCAACCGTAGCTCAGCTGATGCAGTGCAGTTCCAAGGAATGTCGGCTTCAGCGTCACAATACAGATAGACGCCAAGGGTCTTCTTGTCCTTGGGTTGGATGGCCTTACGGTCATGTTCACGCTTGACCATCAGTTTCCACGGAAGGTTGCGGACGAAGACCGTCTCACTTGACTTCTCCTTGACCTGGCTGAAGTTTTCCACGGTGAGGCGAATGGTAGCATCTGCTTGCAACTCTCCCTCCACATCTTCACCTCTGATGTTACCAAGGACCACTTCGTTTCCCTTTCCGTCTTATTCTTAGGAACAAACTCGACGTCATTGATGCAGTCCAGGATGTTTGTGGTTGTTTCCCTCAGTAAAGGATCCAGTCGTGCTGTTATATCAGAGGACACGTTCATGATGTCAAAGTCACTGCCATGTTCCACTACTATCTGTGAGAAGTCCACTGTGCTGGACAGACAGCTTAAGGTGCTCGCAACACTGTCTGCTACAGCAGAAAGCTGCCTGGAACGAGCTTCTGTGATGGAAGGCTTGGCAGCTTTTATGTAGATACCAATACTTGTGACCCTTGTGCTGCAGTACTGTGCAGTCTCGACAGATGGGGCACTTGCATGTCACACAGTAGAACTTCACCTTCTCATCTTGGTGTTTCGGACAGGTCGGCAGGGACTTTGACCTGAAAGATTTCATCTTGGCAATCAGCTGCTCTTCAGCTCCGGAACGCTTACCACTTCGTGGCCACGTGTGCGCTTGAAGCGACGGTGGGCACAGGCGCACTCATCGCACATGAACTCTTCACAGGGTACACAGCCTTGGATTGCCAGGTCTTCTTCACAGAGATCACAAGGCACTTTGTTATCCTCCTTGCTGACCAAACTATTGTGCGCCTTAACAGTGTCGCTGAAGCTCACCGCAAAGAAGTTGTCTTTGAGCCCGGCGACGCCACCCTCTGGAAGTACGGTCTCGTTTTGACAAGTTGGACACGGAAACACCTCCTTCCCTTGATCTTGGTTTACAACAAACTTCTTCAGACAGCCATTGCAGAAGGTGTCAAGACATGGTAACATCTTAGGGTCTTTAAAAGGTTCTTGGCAGATTGCGCACTCTAGAAAGTTGCCAGAAATCTGGCTGAATGTGTTCTCTGCCATGATGATGACTTTTCCTGGAACAGAAGCATTCAATTTTAAGTTCAGTTAAAACAATGGTCTACATGACTGAAACTGGCTTCCAATAATACAGAAATTTGGGTGCAAAACATTAAATAAATGAACCCAAATACAGAAACTTTACTTCAAAATAAGTAACAACAAATGTCAAGAATATGCTGTAATCTAGTGTACAATAGTTTGACGCAATTGTATCATCATTATCTTCATTGAGGACATAAGATGTACTTTTTTGGAAGCGGTGTCAATCCTCTGGTCTTAAATAATTGTTACATATAAACCTTCAGAAATATCTTCCAGTGCCACGCTCGTCCCCAGCGCCCGTGGAGAAGCCGTAGGTTATAGATCGTGGCTTAGCCCAGGCTATGGAAAATAAACTTTCTTTAATGCAAATCTGTCGTTTTTGTTTTCTTTGCGCTTTCTAAAGAGTTATGATAACCTACTCTACTCTGGCGGTAGGCGCTCGCTAGTACGTAACGTTACACGGCGGCCATCTGAATACATGTACACTGCATTCTTTCTACTATCGGGACCTAAAACAAGACGCAAGATTCCTATTTTGGGGTATAAAATGCTGTCACAATGGTTATATATACCAAATGAAACGGACCTTTACAAAGTACCTCATTTGGTGACGCTATGAGGGTGTACCGTTATCCCTCTACATTTGCCCAGAAGGGAGTTAGTCGCGGAAGGAACTTAGCCACGGAGGGAGTTTTGGCATTCTCCACAAACTCGCCACAAACTCTCGTCCCCAGGACAGTTCACTCTGCTACCCAGCATGCTTTGCGCAAAATGCGTTCTCGGCCCCAGGACACAAATACACGCTAATGCTTCCGCACTGTGTTGCTCTGGGGACCCCGCCGCGCGCCCAGATGTGGATTTAATTATAGCGCGCTAGCGGACGCTGCGGAGGAGCGTGTTCCAGTGCAGTGCACATAATTAAAGATGGCCGCCTCCATAGACGCTGGGTAAAACAAAACATTTTTGTTTGTTTACAAGTTTGTTTGGCAAATCAAGGAGCTGCACTGATAACACACGATGTTGTAAATCAAAGAAGCTGGATCATCTTTTATTAAAGTTGATATTCGGATTATGCCCTGAACTTCAAAGACGCTGGCTGTTAGCCGCGGCGACTGTTGCAGGGCTTCTCTTACTTGCAGTCTTTTACGTTAGCCCTAACATTAGGGCTAACGTAAAAGACTGCAAGTAAGAGAAGCCCTGCAACAGTCGCAGCGGCTAGCTGGCTGTGTGCATTTTTCACGAAATATTTTCCTCCTCCCCTTCATTTTTTTTGACCACAAATTCCAGAATATTCTGGCGCAAATTGTCAATTTTATACTGCCTGGCACTGTCTCGATTACTTATCATCATCTACGGAATATCATAATAGCTTCTAAATGGAAATTTATCGACAAAATGTCGTACCTTCTTGCGACTTGTTGTCCCTTCGCCACCGCGCCTCGCTAGTGAATGAATTTTTCCCGCCCAAACTCTTGGAAATTAGGTGGACTGTTCCAAAAATGAGGGATGGACGAGGCATGTTTTTACACCCTCCTCTGAATCACTTTTTTCATTGGATACCTTAAAATCATTTTTATAGCATTTTATGTTGATAGTTCTTTTTGTTGGTCCATAAGATCTATATATGTTATCGTATCTTAGTAAATCAGCTATTTCTTTGCACCCAGAGTTACCTTGATTTCTTTTGGAATCACCCTGTAGGTCACAGGTCACTATGGTTGAGGGCTACAAAATACTTTCAATATAGACTTGTTTACTCAGTAATTAGTCCCATATGTATATTTTTTAGTACCATAAATCAAACAATAAATATTTCCTATATATTTTATACTGTTTGATATATCCTTTTCGTTTCCCTACCTCGTAAAGAGATCTGACTGTGATGTTTCTATGTTGTCCTGTCCAGTTTGTAGACGAAAACAAAATGGCCGCGCCCATGGTGTGAAAAACGCTCTGACTCCAGGTCGTCGAATATTTACGTCAGATACCTTCCGTTCCAGTTGCCCTCTCAAACAGGAAGATGTTTCCTAGACTTCAGGGAGTCCTGTGCCGTCACGGACCGGCCCAAACCCCCGGTATGCCGGCGTCGGCGCCGGTTGTGTTGCAGTTCGTGCGATTTCGGAAACCCCGACACGTCCCGCGAGCGCCGTCTAAGGCCAACTACGTCCGCAAACTCACGCCGATAGACCCGGAGGAACACACTTACTTAAAGACGGCGTACAACAACTACAAGACTCACTTCCGGGCTGTCAGGTAAGTGTTGTGTCTGTAGAATATTACAGTGAGTGGAATAATTTTACAGTATCGCTTCACGAAATAGAATTTGGGTGTGGGGAGGGGGGCAACAATAATTATTTATAATTTGTGCACTCACTCACTATCCTGTTCATCGTCCATTATTCCCAGTTATGCGAGGGTTATGCGGGTTAGACCTGCACATGCCTGTATTTTCAGATGTGGAGGTTTTATAAATTTATACATATATATCTGAAATCATCTTTATGTGATAAATTTCCATTTTATTATAGAATAATTCCCCTGGACGTTATACCCCGTGAGGGGTTTTGTCCAGAAATCCATAGATGTAGATAGATGAATAATAAGGAAAAACAAAACTTACTGCCCTTTTTCACCACTTCAATATTTTTTTTGGGGGGTGGGGGTGGGGTGCTCTATATCCCATATTACTTTTCCATCTAAATGAAAAATTTGTAAACTAGAACCTTTTATACTTTTCCAGGAATATGTTTTTAGAAGAGTACCTCGCCAGGAAGCGTCAGGAGGAGGGAGCGGACACGGCGAAGAGAGAGAAGGAGGAAGACGAGGAGCACTTCAGACTCATGGAGTGGAACAGGAGAGAAAACGAACGGATGCATCAGGAAAGGTGAGGCTAGAAATCCTTTTTCCTGTGTACCTGTTACTTTGAATATTACCTGCACCAGACAAGTTTTACTTGAACCTCTCAAAATTGAGGAGGTATTCTACTATGTATGTGTGTGTGTATGTGTGTGTTTGCTTGTGTTGTTGTTGTCCTTGTTTAACATCTGATATCTCACTATACACTATATATATGTTCTCTTGGTGCTGGTTTGTGCTTGGTTCAGTTCAGAGTCAAATTATCTCTCTAGGTAATTTAACTTTTGGTGCCTTGTGCTTGTGTGATGCAGAGAACTTGTCTCTGGGAGAGCATGTCGAATTGGTGCGTACTCTCAATGTACCGGGAGTACACACTGACTGTGTCTTTAAGCATTTACATGTATTTGACTGCATGAGGGTGAGGATATTACATGTGCTATTACATATTACATGTAATATGGGATATTACTCAATGCACACAACAATAGGTCAGAGACAGGAAATGGGGTCCCTGAAGCTGGCAGAGAGTCAGCAGGATGTGGACAGGATGCCGGTGGAGAAATCCAGACATAAACAGAGAACTTTACAATGAATCCAAGAAGAAAACTATACATTTTTGCTGGAGATTTGACATCTCTGATTTCTTGTTGTTTTCCATTCTTTGTTTCCAGGTTGGTGCGAGAACAAAGGGTAGCCCTGGAAAGAGAAAAGGCAGACCTGGAGACATCCATCTGGAAAGAACAGAGGGAACAAGAGATAGTGGAAAAGATGGATGAACTTATCAGACTGGAAAAGGTGTGCTTTTGAAAACTTGCTACTATCAAATGTTAGAATGTAGGTTAAGATAATACGTAAGTTATTATAGATCCATAGCAACGATTGGTCTTCCTTAGGTTTATTATGTGCTCTTCTCAAATTTTGTGCTAAATGGGTGCTTCACTTTTAAAATCATCCAAATTCCACTGTACTATATTTCAGTCTTGAGAAAAACAATTTTGCACACAAGGGGTATGAATGATCTTGGGGTATAAATAATTTTGTTGTAACTGTACATCATACGCTTTGTCAGCAATTTCTTGTGGCCTTGAAATTACCTTAACTGTTATCATCTATTGACAACTTTTTTCTTTCTTTCTATTTTATTTGATAGGAGGCAAGTCAACACTTTATTACGTTAGACAACGTCGAAGAAGCCATCGAATCTGCTCTCTCCGATCCTAAGAACTACAACTTTGCAGTGGACAGAGATGGCAACATCGTTCAAAAGACACCCTTTGCTGGATAACAACCCAAGGCTTATTCCTGGACATATTTTCCCATCAATTTGCACAACTTAACTGAGCTTACAGAAACGCTAAACAAACTAACAACACTGGTTTCAAAGGGATGCACTGAGGTATTCATGCATACATGGACTTGGATTTGTTACTTATAACATTGAGTCTGGGTGGTATTTTTTGTCCAAAAGGCACCCAGAGTTAAATACCTAGAGAGACAATTTGACTCTGAACTGAACCATGCGAAAATGAGCACCAAGAGACCAGGTCTAGCGAGATATTAGACATGAAGCAAGGAAACAACAACAAACCAAGAAATTGGAGATTTCAGATTTCTGGAAGTATTTTGAGTTGTTGTGACTTTCACGTTCACCCCATTTCCTGTGTCTGACATTTTGATCTGCCATTTTTTCTGATAATCTTACCCCCACCCATGATCATGAGCTGTCTACCTACCCTCTCCTGACAGACACACAAACCCACAGCTCAGCCTCTCAAAACAATACTTCCATACAGGCAAGTGATAATATGGATATAATAAAATCAAAATGAAACATTGAGTCAGCAAACAGCACACAAATGTTGTGGCAATGATTTATTTTTTTCAATCACATTACCAGTCAGTGAGTGAGTTATATACAGTTGATGGCTAGTATACATGTACAGTTTGTAATAATGTTCTTTCATTATACTTATTGTCTTATATTCACATTTCTAGTCTACCTAGCAATACCTTTACTACCAATAAAATAAATTCTTCCAAAATATGCTGGAGTGGAAGACAATGGAAACCAAGCTTACTGTTGTCACGTTACGGTATCATTTGTTATTCCAAGCCTGGGTGCTATCCGTTTTGTAACAGACTCAAAACATAATGGTGTAGAAAACAAAACAAAAGGATTTTTAACATGACATTTACAGAGAAAGTGAATTTTTGTATGGGGGAAATGTCATAACAGTTTCTATAATACTAGTACCAAACAAGTGCTAGTAGAATGAATCTATATAGTAAGTAGAACGCATGAAAAATCTCTTGTAAAAGTTACTAATATAATGTTATGGAGGGAACCACAGTACAGATACCGCATTTACTCTCCCGTTCAAGACTTCGTTCACTCTTCCCTCTGCACACGTCAACGTTAAGTATATCCTGGAGTTAGCCTTGACCGTGTACGCGCCACTCAACACTATCCCCTCCTTTTCCGAGTCCGTCTTCCCCTGCACTTGCTGGGCGAAAGGGATAGGGGTTGCTCCTGGCCGGTTCTCGTAGTACACGGTCACCTTGGCGTACGCGCAGGAGTGCATGAGGACGCCGTGGTAGTCCACCAGGATGCGCCCGCTGCGCTTGAACTTGAGCTTGCCGTTGCGGAGCTGTCGCAGCGCGCGCGCGTCCGTGTTGTTCACCTCCTGAAAGCGCAGCTGTGTCTCCTCCCCGACCCCGAACAGGTCGTCCCCGTTCACCAGCATCCCGGCGTACAGCGCCGACTGGCGGAACGGGACCCACAGCAGGCTCACGGTGCCGACTCCCTCGTTATTCCCGTAGAAGTACATCTTGCAGCTCCGCGCCGTCTCCACGTCGAAGAAGAGTTTGTCGTTATACTCCACTGGCACGCTACCGGCGGTGAGGATGGAGTTATACTGCAGGGGTACGCCTCTCTGATAGTTCTCAAACAAGTCGATGACTTGACCGTCCCGTTTTAACAGTTTCGGGATGACCACCAGGCCGTTACTTCGGCACGCCTGCCCGCTCAGAAAGTACGCCTGCATGAACGAGAACCTCAGGTTGCCTCCCTCTCTGATGTTAAAGTACGTGTACGAGTCTAAACGCAGGATGTAATGATCAGAGGTTTCCTTCATGTTGAAGGTGGCTCGCCAGCCGGTCTCGTAGGTGGTCTGGCGGGTTTCTGCGCGCAGGAAGACGGCGGCGCTCTCGTGGGACAGCCACAGCAGGCTCATCGGTCCCGCCAGGTTGTCCGGGGCGATCTCCTCGAACGTGGTGGAGTAGCGGGCGTCGTTGGAGTTCTTGAAGCAGTAGTACGTCCCGCTCTTCACGTCAAGGCTCAGCTCGTCCTGAGGGTCCACCTCCACCTGGAACGGAATACCAAATGATATGACAAGACAAAGCCACACATTGCCAGCACGTACTAAACTTTACCAAAATAGTCCCCGGCCTACCATATATCGTAAACCTGGTAAACGATGGCATTAGATTGGTATTTATATGCATTGTCACCTGCTCGTCCTCTTGTAAACCTTTAGATCGATTTTATATGTCAAATTGTCTAAACTTGTATATGTTTATGTACATGTGAACTCGCAATTCAGCTCACGAGCTGCGATGAGTTTGTAACGAATGATAATAATAATAATAATAATAATAATAATAATAATAAATAGATAACTTATCTTATCTTAACTTATCTTTCCTATAATAATAAACCATTCTAACTAACCGTGGTGGAGATGGTTGAGCCCTGGAAGAACTTCCCGCTGAGCTCCGTGAGCCGTGAGGCCGCTAGCCCGCCCAGCTCAGACGTCTTCACTCCGAACTGCATGTAGTCGTTGCACGAGTGTCGGGCCGCGAAGTTGAACGTGACCGTGACGAAGCCGTGCTTGCGAAACTTCACCATCCCCTTCCTCGGCATGTTCTGGAAGTACGAATTGTTCTGCGCGTGGAAGGAGCTCAGGTCCACCTACAACAGAATTAACACACATTACAGTCTTGACCTGCCATGTACTTGGACCACTTCTTGTGGGTGTAGTTCTTGTATTGCTTCTAGACCTAAGTGACCTAACACAATTTATACTACTTATTAGATATATTTGAATTATGCCTGACCTTATATATTGATTGCATATTCTGTGCATTTTTATACTCGTTGTCATTGACTATGTTGATGTTGTACGTATGTGTATTTTTGGGAGGGAGGGCAAAACAGGTGCATACGCACCTTTACAAGTTGCCCTCCCTTTCACTTTGTGAAAAATCAAAATAAACAAATCCACCTTTAACCCGCTGGCTAGGTTCTCCGCCCTCGTGACTAAAGTAGGGTCGTTGATTTTGCCCATCCACAGAGAGGACAGCGTGGCGCCGACGGAGGGAGTGCAGACCGAGTCGTTCACCACGCCGCATGGCAGGTACAGGAAACTGATCCCCTCCGTACAGACGCTGCAGCTCTCACACTTCTTCGTCTTCAGGTCGAAGTAGCTGTCCTTGGGGCACCTGTAGTAGTTGTAGTAGAAGATTGGTAAGAAGATCTGAGTAAAAGATGTATAAGCCTCCTGGCAGCAGTGGAGGACTGAACTGTGAGGCTATTTAATTAAAGAGGTATCAGTCTAAAATGATTATACATTTACAGTTGTGATCATTACAATACAATTTTAAAATTTGCTTGTTCAACATTAAAAATTCTAAGAACAATTACGATCGAAGGTAATTTACAAAACAATACTACATGTGTAACAGTGAATGCCTGACATCAATTAAAAGTTGCTAAAAGTTTAAGTTAGGGATTTGATTGCAAGTTAGACTGACGTTTGCAGATAAAACTGGGTGGCAGTATCAGAGCAAATATGAAAAAGTTGTCTTAGTTCATTGTGCTCTACCGGTAGCGTTTTGACCCCGATGGCTGCTGGTATTGGCCGGAAACTTAACTGGCGAAGCTCTCTCCACACACACACACACACACACACACACACACACACACACACACACACACACATACATATGGTAACAGGAGTCTAAATCCCTCCTACTATGAAATTCGGGGTCGGGTGGTGTAGTGGATAGAGCAATCGACTATGAACCGGGAGACCCGGGTTCGATTCCGAGTCGTACCCGGTACATGTCTGAACATGCGCCCCGACGTTGCGCCCTTGGGAAAGGCACTTTACACGACTTTCCTCACTCCACCCAGGTGTGAATGGGTACCTAACTTTGGTTGGGGAAAGTCGTATTGAGGTCACCTTGTGGCGCCGAATGGCAGCCGCACAGACCCTTGCGACAAATATGTGTATCATGTGTATTATTTGATTGTTGTAATTGTTGTGATTTGTATTGATTATGTGATACCCTGCATCAATTCAGCCGTATACAGGCTGCGACTGCACGGGTACTGTTTGGACAATAAAAAAAAAAAAAAAAAACCATTTATAAAATTGCATTATGTAACCCAACACCAGTTACCATGGTGACAGACGTCAACAAATCAGGTCATTGGCCAGGTCAGAGATCACTGGAGAAGAAGAAGAGGAAACTGTGCAAAAACAAAATGTTTTACTTCGGTGCACAATAAAGCATTCATCATCACCATTACCTGCCGACGCTCTCCACGCACACGAAGGTACCCTGCGTGTTGACGCACAGCTCGTCCGCCTTGCAGTTGTCCGTGCCCTCCCGACACTCGTCGATGTCGATGCAGGTGGCGTCCGTGAACTTGGTGCAGTCTGAGCGGGCCCGGTACCCGCCCTGGCAGACGGTGCAGTCCCGGCACTGCGTCTTACCCTCCCGGTCACACCACTGCGTCGGGTTGCACGACAGGCACGTCTGCGGGGACAAGACGAAGCGATAAATGTTGGCAAGTTCATTTTTCATTCATTAATCATCCTCCGAGGAGGTGTAGCATACGAAGTTAGACCTCCAGAACTTTCTGTCCTTCATCACAGAGATGAGTTCCAGGCCCTGCAAGCCTGCTTCAGTTTCTATAAGTTTCTTAAGTGTTATGTTTGGCCGACCAACTCTTCTCTTTGTGTCAGGGTTCCAGAGTAGAAGCCTACTGGCTGGTTCTTCACTACGTACAACATGACCGGCCAAGCTTAGTCGTCGACATTTAACTACTGTAGTTACATGTAGTACATGTAGTACTTGCCAACTACATTGCAAAGCTGAAAAACACGTCACCGTAACAGAGTATAGTAAAACGTTGAACTTTATTCCAACACACAATTGTACAGTGATCAACGCTGTGAAATGATTAATTATCCTGATGAAGGCGACAGTGGTTGCTGAAAATTTGATCCCTGTACAATTGTGTGTTGGAAAAAAGTTTAACGTTTTACCTATGATTACCACCAACACAGTGAACTTTAATGATAGTAACATAGTATGTTTTGAGTAAAACATGCCTGTGTGTATTTTTCTCCTCTTTTGAAAGTGTTAGCAATACGGGTAACATTCACAATATATATTAATCACAAACATAAGATCTCATAATATGTAGAGTTCATGTAAATGTTCTTTTCATTTCATATAGATATATTGAATAAAACCCACACCACGTATTCCTGACAGGAAAAGCTATCCTGTCACCAAAAATCCAACGCCATTGCCAAATATTATCACATCCATAAAGGTGTTCTGAAGTTATGGTGACTACAAATGTGCCGAAACAAGAAAACAAACACACACACACAGACAGACACACCAAAAACTAGAATTCCGAGATCTCATACCTCCATGAAATATGATCTTGATATGTAAATGTAAATTTCTTCTTTAATTGTGCAAATGACCTCTGCATTAACATGATATATGCATCGTGATGTATGTTAACTTTTGATTAACTTACAGATGTCCCAAGTATGACATTCTCATCATTCACCATTACGAAATCATAGAATTTCCGCATTAATTATGCAAACTAGGTCATCATTTGCATAATTAGTATCTGTTGAAGTTCCACCTGCCATAGGTTACATACATTACATGTATGTAAGTAGTATAATGTAAAACACTGTAATTATAGAATTTCCTCATTAATTATGCAAATTAAGTCCTCATTTGCATAATTTGCATTTAATTATGTACATCTCTCTCTCAGCTACCTACACACCAAAAATAATGAAAATATGTTGTTCCTGTCTGGACTTATTGGCTTTTAAACATTTTGCCAGAAAGTGCCCTGTAGTTCGAGAACAAGCCGCTAGGGGGCCCAAACTCATATGACTTCTTCCCAAGCACGAGAGCTACCTTCCATCAAAATTTCATGACCCTAGCATGTCCAGATCGCGAGATATCAAAACCGGAAGTTGCGCTGCAGTACCAAGGGAAGCCACTAGGGGGACCAAAATCTCATCATTTCCAGTTTTCGTCACACCCTACCAACACACCAAGTATGAAACCAATCCATCCAGGCGTTCTTGAGTTATCTTGTTGACCAACAGACGGACGGACAGACGGACAGATAAACGCAACTGAAAATATAACCTCCATGACACATTTCATGGAGGTAATAATACCTCAATTTTTCATGGAGGTAAGAACTATCAGGTGGTTTCGCCTCCATAGCATGTGCCAAAAACTAGGGGGGTGGGGGGTGTGGGGTGGGGTTTTTTAGGGTCTTTTGGAGCTTTTATGTGCTATTTTCTGATTGCATGTAGACAACATATATAGCCGGCCTGGTTGAATTACCCCCGTTTGGCTAATCAGAAAACAGCCGAAGACCACCAAACCCCCAGTTCTATAAGCCTGCTACGGAGGCTACAGTTGGCTCAGAAGTTACCGCTGCAGGCGAACCGCTGTAGTGCTGGAGAAAGGTTACATTCAGGTCAGCGTGCGCTGGTACATGCAGGGGTACATGGTACGAATGTTTGTCTTCCTACGACCTACCAACATGCCAAATGTCATCACAATCCATTAAGGTGTTCTGAAGTTATGATGACTACAAATGTGCGGAAACAAACAAACAAACAAACAAACACACAGACAGACAGACACACCAAAAACAATACCTCCATTTTTTCATGGAGGTAAAAACAATACTCAGAAGTTACCGCTGCAGGCGAAACACTGTAGTGCTGGAGAAAGGTTACATTCAGGTCAGCGTGCGCTGGTACGAATGTTAAGTACCTGTAGGTTATGACATCGTCACTCACTCTTCCTCGCTGTGTCGAGCAAGAACAAAGGCGTCTTGTGTCACGTCGGCATTCCCCATGAGAAGGGTGCATAGACAAGTCAGACTTCATTTCGTGCAGGGGTGATTCAGAGGCGGGTCAGCACTAGACTGTCTGTAACACTGCCGTCCGATTTGTGCCTTACAGGTGGGGAAATGTTCACTGCAAGTTTTAAATCTTTCTGGGAACGCTTGCTACGCTACGTAGACATGCAGTTATAACGTGTGTGAGCCATCATGTATGGCTGCTGACTGTTTAAAAAGGCTAGAACGAACAGCTGTTTTCAACGCTTTGACATACTGAGGATTTCTCTACCTAAATACATCTGGTTTTCAGATACACCGCGTTACGCTCGAAAGTTGCTAGAATTTGTGTTCAGAAGAGTTTACTAGTACTTGGTTTGGTGGAAAAGTGGATATAAGTGTCAATGTAGGGTGAAAAGTTGACCAGATTGTCCATTCCTGACAGTTAGAAGACAGACAGGTGAAGATGGCAGCAACAAGCGAGATCGCCATTCCACAGTGTGCAGAAGACATCGCCCCCTGCTGGGTGCAGCAGGTACTGCAGAAGGACCTCCCGGGCATCTCCATCACGGACGTCCATGTCAAGGGATCTGTCAACCAAGGCGAGGGGTACACGAGCGATATCGTCGCTTTTGATGCCGTGGGGATCAGGAATGGTGTGAGTCAGCGCTACAGTCTCGTCGCTAAGCTGACAGATTTCGAGCGCCCGCTAACGATAATTAAAGATTGGTCAAAGGACTTTCAGATCAAAATGGAGACGACTGAAGTCGAGTTTTATTCCAAAGCGGTCCCCGACTTCCTCTCTGTGGCAGTCCCAAGCACGGAGATCAAATCGAAGCCAGGAAACGAAGATAACGAAAATCACCCTGCTGATTCCTTCAAGTTCCTCCCAAAATGCTACTTCGCCGCCACCGATCCGAGCTCCATGGTGTCCGTCAGGGTTATGGAGAACCTGAAAAGTCAGGGCTTCTCCATCAAAGCCAACCGCCAGCTGCTGAGCCGTGAGGAGATGATGCTTGCAGCCGGGGCGCTGGCGCAGCTGCACGGCCTGTCTCATCGGCTGGAGCTCCGCGAGGGCGTCCCTCTTCCCGAGAAGTACGACTGGATCATGACCCAATCAGATATTTCAGATGAGATGATGGATCGAGTAACCTACCAGTATCAGATCGCCGTGAAGGCATTCGCCGCTGCCTTTCCTGACCAGGTCGATCTTGTAGCTCGTCTGGAGAAGTTAGAATTGAAGGAGCTCCTCCTAAATGAGGGCCTGAGCTCGAGGCTAAAGGTTGTCAACCATGCAGAATGTTGGATCAATAACATCATGTTTAAGGTGAGACATGTCGCGCTTTTCCTTTCTTGTTTCAATCATCTAAACATTGTTGTGTTTCGTTCGTTTTCTGTAATTCTTTTACAAGATGATTTATCATTGCTGTTTGTTTCTTTGTTACGAACACAGTACACTGAAAGTGTGCCCACTGATGTAAAGCTTGTGGATTGGCAGAGTCCAAGGTACCTGCCGCCGACCTATGACCTGACCCTCCTGTTCCTTTGTAACACGAGTTGGGACGTCTTTCACAACCACAGGGACGCCATCCTGGCTCACTACCACCACAAACTGATGGAGACCCTGGATCCAAACGGTGAGAACTCCCATTTTTAGTCTTAGTCTACACATTTTGCAGTAGAGCATTAGAGCTAATTAGTAGGTCACCTTTGTTTTGTTTAGCACCATTGACGTTGTAATCAAATTCATCTCACCAAAAGAAAGAGAGAAGTAAATGTTTTGATCACGAATAAACGCTCAGTTTTGCGTTACATATTCTTCCAGAATCCTCGGGCTTACAGAGCTACACACTGGACCAGCTGAAGGCAGACTTCAAAGCCGACTGTGTGGAAGCGGTGTGGGGCCGCATATTCCGTTTGATGGTCCTTCCTGCGGGTCCAGATCTGCTGAAGATTCTCCAGGAGATCCAGGAGTGGGGAGTTATCTAAATGTACACATTTCTAGGGTTTTTTTTTTCTACAAAAATTTAGCATGAGGGAGCAGATCGCAAGCATGACGAGGGAGCGAAGCAACGTTAACCAAGTTTTTTAATGAGAGTAATACAATTTGCAATGCTAGAATGCATTGTTGTATTGTTTTTACCTCTTTACTGGAAAAGGAAATACTTTTGAGAAAGACTAAATGATGTGAAAGTTACTACTTAGGGCTCAATCTGAAAATTGATATGAGGGAGCTGGCTGATTACACGAGGGAATATCGCCCTTATTCCCCTGTTTAGAACAACCCCTGCACTTCAGTATGCATATAAACTGCAGACATGTCGCTGTAGCCGATATGCCCCTATAGTTCATCAACAGTCATGACCACTACTTGTCAAAGAGGGAAGAGCACATGTTTCAGTTGTTGGAAATATTTTAACTTTGATCATGCAGATTGCTGATCTGTTATATCGTGTGACATAAGCAGAAGAGCAGGGACTTTTGAGACGTTTGCAAGTAAGGCCATGTTGATTTGATTATATGGATGACATCCTCCGGGCCGGGAGCCCCAAAAACTGATGCGCGCGTGCGAATAAAAAAAAGTTTTGCAAAAAAAAACCAGTTCTTTTCATTATGAAATCTACGTGGTCATGAGGGTTGAGCAAATGGCACAGAATATGATTTGGCGAATAATCTAGTCTTCAAGTTCATTTCTTTACAATTTCGTCTTTTTTCGTTTGATTTTGGCATTCTACGACATTGGTATAGTTTTTATTAATTTTTTTTGTAACTTATGGTATTTTTTGCTCATTTTGCAACTGTTTTGTACGATTTACAGTATGGTTGAAAACTTTTTTTTTGGAAACGGCCGGAAATTCATGCGCGCGTGGATGTCATCCATATAATCAAATCAACATGGCCTTACATGCCATTTTGAGAGTCGAGTCATTTTAACTCATAGAGGTGGAGGACAAAAGTTGTGTTAACAATATACAATATCAATCTATTAATTAAGGTATATTATTATTGATCTACTTTATGAAATAATGATTATTTCATAATGATTTGTACCAACACAGATGAACTTTCATGCTAAATTGATCTACTTTGTTTATCATTTCATAGAATTGCTCCTACATGTATAACCTACATGTACATATACCTGAAAAGGTGTTCAATAGTTTATGTAACCCAGCGAAAGTTCAATAGCATGGCAAGAAAAGTATAATAGAATAGAAGAGAATAGCAGTTATCCACTGTTTATCCTGTATACCAATGTTACTAGATATAAGTAGAGATAGTAGGTTAAATAAGTAGATCGTATACGCAGAACTTCAAGTTAGCATATAGTTTCATATCACTACATTCTGTACTTATTGTTCTTGTCAATGTCTGTTCGCAATTAGCCCTCGGGCATGGACTTGCAATAAAGAAATCTCTACAAATGTAGAGTTTACGTAAATGTTTTTTTGGATCTGACATAAATATATTAAATTAAACCCATACCACTTATACCTGACAGGAAAAGCTATCTGTCACCAAAAATCCAAGGCCATAGCATGTTTAGGACAAAAGATACAAAAACCGGAAGTTCTGCTGCAGTACCAAGGTCATCCACCAGGAGGCCCATATTTGACCTTGACCTTCGTCTTCCTACGAGCTACCAACAAACGAAATATCGATCATCACAACCCATAAAGGTGTTATGAAGTCATGATAACGAGAAATGTGCGGAAACACAGACACACACACACACACACACACACACACACACAGACAGACGGACAGACACACCAAAAACAATACCTCCATTTTTTCATGGAGGTAAAATCGCTGCTTTTAGAGGGGATACAGTTTGGTTGGCTAAACAATTAGGGCCGGCTAAACTCCCCCTGGGCTCAACTCCCCGTAGTGGTAGTACCATAGTGGTACTAGTAATTTAGATAGGCGGGTAAAGGGCTCTTGGCTAACGGCCCGATTCTAGTCTGGCACCCAGACTTCTACAGATACTTTCACGGTCGATGTTCAGGAGAACTTGCACTTCTTGTTCCGCCACTCAGAACCTTTCAGCGTGCCACTAGGTTCCCTTCCAGTTCATCAATACACCGTCAACATACCTGTATCCAAGTCATTTTACAACAACAGCTTCTTTCCCCGGACAGCAAAATTATGGAACTCTCTTCCAAACAGCTGCTTTCCGTCCGATTACAATTCACAAAGCTTCAAAACAAAGGTCCACCGCCATCTCTTGACATAACTACATTATACTCACTTAAGTACCTCTAGCTCTACCTAGAAGTGGCCAAAAATAATTGGGCTTGCATTGAGCGACACCGTTAAAAAAAAGGGTACAGGTTACCCACCTCGCTGTCCAGCGCGGCCAGCTGCTGGTCTGCAGTGGAGGCCTGCAGCAGGTTGACCAGCTGCTGCTGCTGCTGCTCCAGCAGGCCCTGCTGATAGATGACCTCCTCCTGGCGGGACACCAGCCCCCGCAGCCGGTCCTCCTGCTTGTCCATGGTCAGCCGGACCGGGGGCTTGTTCGGGATCACGTTACCTATAGATATAATTAGTAGTATTCCAAAAAGCAGTTACTCAAGCTACTGGATATGATTTTGAAAACGTCAGACGTTTCAGCTAGTATCCACTAGCTTTCATCAGTGACTGAGAGACCAGAGGGGAAATGCAGGTTTATAAGCACAACCTATTGATTGATATTTTATTTTATTGATTATACTTTATTTGCATATCAATCAATAGGTTGTGCTTATAAACCTGCATTTCCCCTCTGGTCTCTCAGTCACTGACGAAAGCTAGTGGATACTAGCTGAAACGTCTGACGTTTTCAAAATCATATCCAGTTGCTTGAGTAACTGCTTTTTTTGGCGTATCGTATTACCTGGATGTCTAACCTTCATCGACGTAATAGTAGTAGTATATGCCCGAGGGCTAATTGCAACACGGAACAATGTATAAGAATATACAAGAATATTCAGACAGCGCAATTTAACGAAGGTGACAAGTGGAACAAGTGACGACTCTTAGACGACGGAATGCACTGTAATTATTATTTTTTAAAAACTTTTTGGAAGCAGTTGAAAAATAATTGTCCCACTTTTTCTGCAATGAGTGGGTTTTGAGGTCACATGAATGTGGTTTTCCTGATCCTGTATACGATAAGACAATGAAAGACTTCTAAATTTTGTGTGAGGAAGAACCATGTACCAAAGAAAAGCGGAGTAGCAACGTTTTCATTGTGCCTAAAGCCTCCTAACGCAGCGTATACATATATAAGAACGCCGCTCCAGGATAGCCTCTACCAGGCTTGGGGAGGCGGCTGAAAAGAGTAGAAATCGGCCAAATAGAGAGATAAGCATGCCAAGGGAGTCTGTCCGTTGAGAGAACATTTCGCCGCACCCCCCGAAAAAATGTTCTCTCAACGGACAAACTCTCTTGGTATGCTTATCTCTCTATTTGGCCGATTTCTACTCTTTCCAGCCGCCTCCCCAAGCTTGGTAGAGGCTAGTAACAAATGGTCAGTGTAGATAACGGTCACTGTATTGCCAGATTGCCACTGAGATTCTGCGTACCCTTGTTGTCTGTGTAGCGGCAGCTCAGCACGCACGAGGTCCCCTCGGTGCACTCTGGGAAGACTGCGGGGCGCGGGAAGGGCGGGACCCCTGACCCCAAGTCGTCGGGAAAGTCGTCGAACACGGGGATGTCCTGGGCACGCAGCAGGGTGGACACGACAAGCACGGACAGGAGCCGGACCGTCCAGCTCAGGGCACGCATGGTGGACAATCTGGGGTGGAACAGTAGTGATAAAACATACATGAATACCTTACGATATTGAACGAATGAAGACCTTTATTGTACATTTTAGCCCCACTGGGCTAAGCACGTACAGGTCGGAGTTATCTTTTTCACAACCACTGAACCAGTAACGTCTCACCTGCCTACGTTTTGAGGCCTATTTTTACGTTACGTTTCGATGCATATCACTCAGACGTCTTCTGTAGATCTTCTGGCTGGAGAACGGCAGGTGCTGCACTTTTGCGGCGACAACACAATTCCAAGCGTGGCTAAGTTCGTTAGTCTCCAAGCAGATACCTAGAACTAGTAAAAGGTCAATAGTAAAACGCTTCCTAGGATTTGCGTATTTGTAACGGTTGAAAGACTTCAGACCAAACACAAAGTCTGCAATCGTTCAGATGTATCTAAAACATAAAATATTCTATAAACTTCTGAGACTTTTGAACAGTGCTTTTTGATGTGACATATTAAAATTTCGGGGTCAAGAAATCAATAGTGTGAATGGCCAGCCTGTCTTAAGCGCCAAGCAGATGGTGGGAGGGATCTCGGAGTTTTCTTCCATCTGATGTACCAAACCAGTTGGCATGCAACCAGCGTCCAATCTGGGTCTGTCCTATTCAAAAAAGGGGGTGTAGTACAAATTAAGCCAGACGCAGTGTGGCCCATGTTTGGTCTCTGTTCAGTCAAAACGTCTCTGTTATCAAGCATGTTAATCCGGCCACAGCTTACAATTAGCCGCTTTCCTGAACACGAAAGACGTGGTCGGCATAGAAAAGTATTGAGTACATATAGTAGTTGTGCGCTGCCACCATGTCAAACATTGTCGCGTGAAGCGTGCACATGGCGTTTTAAATTTCAGCTAGTGCCAGGCTAAATACCTGGATAGGTCGCGACAGGAACTTGAGGAAGTGGCGCGAATGCTAGGCTGGATGTCAGACTGTTGCCGGGGCAACACATGCTAGATCTTCGGCTAGCTCCAGGGCCAACATGGCCCCAAGAAATTTGGGAAGACACTGCATGAACACAGACACCCCTCAAGAGCTGGCCGCTGTATAACGTGAGGCCCTGATAGCAGTCTGGCATTCCAGGCTATCACAGGTCAGCTCAGGGCTTTCCTCTGGACCTATGGGAAAGTGTCCTCGGGGGCATGCCGAAGAGCTGCCCTGTGTAAGCCCTGGCTACTGACTGGCTACCGGCCTGCCCTCCCCACTTTGTCCGGCACTTTGCAGTGTCTACAAGTACAAACAATGACTCCCTTAGGCCTTATTTAATAAACCTCCTTAATGCAGCTTGCAATTCTAGACATGTTAAATTGTAACTACCGACAGTGTTGCCTTTTTACATGTATGAAAGCCGCCAGGAATACGTACCAAAAGCCACAGGGTTGGAACTATGGTGCCCACCTTTTTAGCAGCGATACTATCGAATCGTACTTTACGGAGTCTACATCCGTAAATCCAGACACACAGGCGGCCCCGAGGATTCAATCCGGACGAAGGGCCCAATCCATGGTCAGACAGCCCGCAAGAATAGAGCAAAATCCTCAAGTCTACAGACCGAATGTGCGCTGCCCCGACTGTCTGTCGTGTGTGTGGGAATTTGAATAGGACTGTTCCAAAATGGGGGCCAGTAACAGCTGGTATAAAGACGTGTAATGAGGTCTACACCCTATTATCAGCGGGTCACACGGGACAATGGTCCGGACATCCCGACGACGAATAACTACAAACCCGCGGTGTGCCAATTTCGCACGCAAATGAACAGCGGCCTCACCACTAATAACGTCATTTGAAAAGAGCTAAAACTGTTTTGTAGTACATGTATCAGGGAGGTTATAACCTCCTTGGTAGTGTACACATTTTTCGTTTGGAAATCAACGGCTCGTGACGAATGCGGACCCATGTTTTGGGTTCGAGATCGTTATCTGAGCTTTCATGCACAGATAACCCTAGCCTGGATGGTACACTGTTCTCAGGGCCAATACACGGAAGACAATCTCTTGTTTCTCTTCTCTAGTTTTCCTTCCTTTTTGATTTACATTTAGTTATACCTCAATCAAAAACGGGAAATCTCTGCAACGTGGGGTGGTGGTGGTAAAATTTCATTGGGAACGGAGGTAGCCCGTATGCTGCTCTGAGAAGCTGAAACATTCTGTATAGTCGCATGTACATAATGTATGCATCAGTAAATCAGGGGACAGTTCAGTAAGTAATCCGTGTGGAGGTCCAGCGTTTCAACGTCTGTTTCTATTTGCCCTGTCATTCATACACACATCAGGATGGTGTTTTCTCAAGTCGCATATGACGTAGATTAAAACCATATATTTTGTTCACTTCCTTCAGACTTCCGATCGAAGGTCCTCTATGACTCGGTCTACTTTTGCATTAGTAACAAAATCCGCAAGGGGGCGCAAGAGAGGCCTAAAACAATGTGCAAAATTAAGTGTAACAAGTCGTTCGGTGTGACATAGCTAGCTGCCGCCGCGCCGCGTGCCTGTGAAGCTGGTGTGTTGCGCCGAAGGGCGGTTATACTGGCTATACTGATACAGATGAACACAAGAATGTTAATTTTTACAAATTGAATGCAAAAAACGTCATGAAATATTGCATCATAAGTAGATAGTTATGATCACGACAATGGTAATTTTTACAAAATGAATGAGAAAATCGCCGGGGAAACCTTTTGTCCATTGTCCATGCGTTTCAACGTTTCAATTTACCTTCCTGTATCGATGCACCTGCCTGTATCCTCGTCTCATTATTGCTTCATAAGTACATGTAGATAGTTATGAACACAATGGTATTTTTTACAAAGTGAAATCGCAGAGAAAACCTTTTGTCCATACAAAACAAAAGTGCGTTACAACGTTTCATCCTTCTTGTTCCGACGCACCTGCACCGCCTTTTCCCTCGTCTCATTATTGAATCAGATAGATACTTGTTATGAACACGACAGTGGTAATTTTTTACAAAATCGGAGAAAATGGCCTTGAAAACCTTTTGTCCATTGTCTTTGTGTTTCAACGTTTCATCCTTCTTGTTTCGATGCACCTGCACCTCCTTTTCCCTCGTCTCATGAAATAATATTGCATCATAAGTAGATAGTTATGAACACTACAATGGTATTTTTTTTTACAAAATGACTGCGAAAATCGCAGAGAAAACCTTTTGTCCATTGTCCGTGTGTTTCAACGTTTCATCCTTCTTGTTTCGACGCACCTGCACTGCTTTTTCCCTCGTCTCATTATTGCATCATAAGTAGATAGTTATGAACACGACAATGGTATTTTTTTTACAAAATGACTGCGAAAATCGCAGAGAAAACCTTTTGTCCATTGTCCGTGTGTTTCAACGTTTCATCCTTCTTGTTTCGACGCACCTGCACTGCTTTTTCCCTCGTCTCATTAAATAATATTGCATCATAAGTAGATAGTCATAAACACGACAGTGGTGGTTTTTACAAAATGAATGCGAAAATCGCAGAGAAAACCTTTTGTCCATACAAAACAAAAGTGCGTTACAACGTTTCATCCTGCCTGTTGCGATGCACACTGCACTGTTTTTTCTCTTGTCTCATAAATAGATAGTTAGATCTATGATCACAATGGTAATTTTTACAACATTTACATGAATGAGAAAATCGCAGAGAAAACCTTTTGTCCATACAAAACAAACGTGCGTTACAACGTTTTATTCTTCTTGTTCCGACGCACCTGCACTGCCTTTTCCCTCGTCTCATTATTGCATCATAAGTAGATAGTTATGAACACGACAATGGTATTTTTTTACAAAATGAATGCGAAAATCGCAGAGAAAACCTTTTGTCCATTGTCCGTGTGTTTCAACGTCTCATCCTTCTTGTTTCGACGCACCTGCACTGCCTTTTCCCTTGTCTCATTATTGCATCATAAGTAGATAGTTATGATCACGACAGTGGTAACTTTTACAAAAAGTGAATGCGAAAATGGCCTTGAAAACCTTTTGTCTATACAAACGCGCGTTACAACGTTTTATCCTTCCTGTTCCGATGCACCTGCACTGCCTTTTCCCTTGTCTCATTAGACATGTTAGAGCAAAAGACCTTTAGAAAATGTTGAGTGGGTGGTTTACATCATCAAAGAAAAGTTCAAACCATACGTGTGCCTTTGTGCTATAGTATATACGCACTTGTGAATTGGTGCACAAACGACGTATGTACGATCCGCGTGGCAGGAGCTAAGTAGGTCAGATGATTCTCAGGTCGCTAATAAGAAATGCCGTGTTTCCTGTTACGTCCTGAAAAAATACCTAGGTCGGTAGGGATTTTTAAAATAAATTTTGTCTGAACTGTTTAAAACAAATGCATGTAAAACCAAGGAGGTTTAAAATAATAAAAAACTGAACATGTATATCAGGACCAGGGTTTGTCTTTCAGTTCCGTTTTTTGTGAGGAGGGGCCGAGTATTTCCAATTTTCACCTGTATTACCCAAGAAAAATTTGAGTCTGAAAATTTGTGCAATAACTTTTCTGAAGGTTCGAAATTCAGGTGTCTGAGAATTCTATGGTTTGCGCTAGACCCCCCCCCCCACCCAAATTAGCCTGGGTACCATCCTACTTGTATGCCGGGGCTCCCACACTCGCTTCCCTAAGGGCACGGTCACATTTCCAAGCCGGGGCCCGGCCGAGTTGTTTGCGTGAACGAAAAATAAACAATTTCTATTAAGGAGCATACGCAAATAGTGCTTATGGTTTAATTTTCTAAAACTTTTATTGTGCTTTGCTGTCTTATATCATAATTTTCGTTCCAAAAGACCGCCCGGCCGGGCCCCGGGTTGGGAAATGTGACCGCGAGTGTGGGAGCCCCGGCATACAAGTAGGATGGTACCCAGGCTACACCCAAATGGCTAGGCTTGTAGATTTTATAGGATTTTAGTCGACTACAGCAGCTGTTTAACTGGCTGCTAAGTATAGAAGACTTTATTTGCAAAATCATGCCCGAAGGCTACTTGCTTTTACAATCAAAGATATTTATAAGTCAGTTGGGCCGGAAACACAACCTTTTATTTCCAAGGCCTTAGAAACCTACGTGGCCTTGAGATAAAAACGTTGTTTGTCTTGGCAACGGGCTTTCTTTCCTTCCTTCTCTTTGCTTGCCACTCGATCTCAAATTGGTGCGGGCTCTCTTGGCTTTCAAGGCTGTCAGGTCCGAATGAGAACCAGATGTGCCCACCTCCCACACAACAAGAGAAGTACACAGCAAACTTTGAAGAACAAAGCATTCGCGTTCTCTCGACTTTCAAGCGAGAGCAGTGGCCCAGTTAAATGCTAAATTTATGCATCAGTGGCCACACTAGTAGTACTGGCGGACGATGACATCGAGTGAAATTGTCTGCTACTTATAGTAGTACAGTATTCGCGATCGCAACTCGTTTTACAAACGGATGTCGCATGGGTCGTCGGGTCAAAGGTCACTTGAAGTTGAACTGGGCTACAAGTACACTGTAGTTTGTAATAAGGATAATTTGAGTACAAGCAAGTTAATTTCCTGAATTTGATCACGTCTAGTGATAGCGTTGTACAATTTTTTGAAAAGATTGAATTTGATTTGAAAAGATTGAATTTGATTTGAAGTTTATAGTGAAGTTGACAATGATAATCACACCTCCTTCTGAAAATGTTATCTTCCAACAACTTGTATCATAAGGTCACCCCATATTTAGTCTCACCTTTTGTGTGAAAAACTCACAAAGACTCGCCTGTCGCCCCTCCATCGGACCATGGCCGTTTCCTAGAAGTTTTAGACCATCTAGCAGTAAGCTGAATCCCTCCTTACCTTCCTACATCCAGTCCTCTTGCACCGGTTCCCCCGACTGTGTTGACAGAGTCAGACGTGCTTGTTGACTCTCTATACAGACGGATAATAGAAGGAAAGACTGAGCTAGCTACACAAACAGACTTATCACCCGGGCACGGCGCTGGCAGAGCGGCTTCGCTGATTATAGAGTTCTTGGAACGGGGCCGCCCAATCTAAAAACAGGGGGACTTTTGCAGAGCAACACCCCTCAAGACTATACACAAACATGGTTTTGCTAAGCTCTAACATAACCTTACAAGTGTTGAGCATTTCTTCAGTGTTTTTGTGGTGTATTCGAGATGCTGAAGACCGTGAAAAACTGATAAGTTTTACGGAAGTTGAGTTAGAACACCTCGGGGCGTTCCTCCAGTAGGCAGCCTCCCGGCAGTGTTGGCAAAGGTCACACATCTGGACGGAATTAAACTTGTTCCAAACTCGCTAAGGACGACGTGCCCCTGGTGCCGCTGTTTCTCATAATCTCTGGAGCATAGCCTGGGGACAGACTGTTGCCAGGGCTAGCATACAGGCTATGCGATTCTCCGTAGTTACAGCTGGTTCGAGGTCCCTATTATCATTTGTTGCCGTGTTGGGAGCCGGTGGTAGCATGGAGGTCTCTTTTTCTACCTCCATGGTGGTAGTATATATATAAAAAAATTAACTAGAGATCTACTACGGAGGATGGCATCCTGACTAGCTATGTCTAATCTCCAAACAGATCTTTTGTGGCTGCAAAGACAATTACCATTTCGCCACCCTTCGGTGGATATGGCCGTGTGTGTTGCAGCCACCAAAAAGATCTGCTTGGAGATATAAGCTAGCTCAACCGGCGCCTAATGAAATTCTACCATAGACATCCCGCAGATAGACCAAGGGAGCACCAGGGTCTAACAGAGTTGGCCTGTGTCTTTGCCCTGAGAACCGCCTGACATCCAGGCTACTAGTGGAGCAAGAATGACGCAAGACCCACCAAGGAGCAAATAGCAATGCTGGCGAGTTACTTCCGGGTACGGAAGTATTGTTTTTGGGTGGCTGCGCTGTGGGTTTGTGTATAGTGTCTGGCCGGACAGATCTAGAGTAGGTTGACAGCACACGGGTGGGTAGAAGATTGACAGGCAGAATTCGAATGACAGGATTTCTTGTTGCAATTGACAAAGGAGTGTGAATGTTTTGGTAGTTTTAAACGTAACAAGGATATGTTTTTTTCATATTCCATATGAACATCTTAATTACTTACCTACCTAAAACCTAAAACATGTGCTATTGATCGAGCTCTGCTTTTTCAACATGTCAACACCTGAGTCCTGACGCAGCATGCATCAATAATACACGAAAAGGCCGTTTTACTTATTCCCGTATGTTTACCTTTATTCATCGCGAAATCTCAGTGTATGCATTTGTCCCGTCCCTACCTAAAAAAAGAACTCTTCATATTATATCATAAAATCATTCATAAGTACGTGGTGTACATATCGAATAAAGTACATCAAATTTCACGCAAAACCACTAGATTTTTTATACACCATAACATTCGAACCTATATTCACATAAAAAGATATAGCATATATTTGTACCGTACACATATACATATCAAGTCACATACACAGTTTGTACATCTACATTCCTTTCAATGCATATACAAGTACATTAAACATTTCACCATATGAAAATGAAAAAAAAAAAACACGGCTAAAATGTGGGATGGACAAACACCGATCACAGTTATGCCTGTTATGTATTGAAATGATTTTTCTGAGCTATGTTTCATCACCCCCATACCTTCATTGTTTGCTAATTCGATTTTCTGTTTTGGATCCCCGATTACGGTGTTTGTAGCTATAGCTCCCGGTTTCTTGACTGACTCGGTATGTGGTTAGTTATTGAGGTCCAGGTGACGTGCGTCGATTTTGTGCAATTTCTCTGCCACACATGCACAGCCTCTTAATACCAGGCTTCAGAAAACGGCCGGAAAGAGTAGAAATTGGCCAAATAGACAGTAAGCGGTAAACTGTACTCCCTTGGCGGTTATCTGTTATCTCACGGTCTGTTTGCTTTGGTCAGAACCGTTATGTATTTTTGTATGTATGTTTGTATGTATGTGGTTTTGCACGATAACTCAAGAAGCTGTAGATGGATTGTCATGGAAATTGGTAGGTGTTTGTAGGTCTTTATGTGAGACCTTGAAATGATTACATCAAGGACATTATACCACCTGGAAGCTTAATTGTTTCTACTCCTTTCAGCCGTTTCCGAAGCCTGGTAGAGGCTTCAAAATCCGCTTCTGACGTTGAACGTTAGCCTATCCGCCGTGACCGCTACTTGCGCCTGTACACGTAGATGACGCCATCTTTGTCGCCGAAGTAGTGCGGAGTGATGTACCTGATGATGTATTCCCACATTCCCTCCTCGCGCAGGCGCACGATCAGCGGGTCTAACTTCCGGTACTCGGCAGTGATGTGGAGGAACTCTTCCCGGACTGTCAGTACCACCGTGCCTCCTGGGAGGGGAGATGGGACAATAAGGATGAAGGGTAGACATCCAGGTTTAATATGAGGCAGACAGACAGACACACACACACACACACACACAGAGACAGACACACACACACGCGCGCGCACGCACACGCACAGACACGCGCGCACGCGTGCACACACACACACACACACACACGCACGCACACACACACACCCACACACACACACACACACACACACACACGCATGCACGCACACACACGCACGCACAGACACGCGCGCGCGTGCACACACACACACACGCACACACACACACACACGCACACATGCACACACACAAGCAACTGGACTCACCTGGTTTGACGACCTTCAGCATGTGAGGCAGGGCGTCACATTTGATGTGACCGTCAATGAAGCCTTCAACGCAGAGTAGAGCATCGTAGGTGCCTGGACAGGGGTTCAAAACAAACTATTCATCAAGTTCTCAACAACATTCAAAGAAACTTTTGGCACTGAGACCTCTCCTACTCTGATTTTGAGTTGCGTTGCGTTATGAATTTCTCTGTAAAAGTAAATGGGTATTTGTTGTATAAGTTGTTGTATACTTGATTTATATCATTCTTATTATCACAATGAGTTCAGCTTATGTTAGTATTCTGTACCTGGTTACCAGACCTATTTTAGCTCTACAGAGAGGATATAGACTCGGGAGCTAAAATAGGTCTGGTTACCAAACTAAATTTTCTGTTAATTCCACTGTATGAATTGTGTGTTTCTGTTGGCATATTTTGTAACATTTTATGGCAGGGCTGTAGGGTGTGCCAGGACTTACCGTTTTCGATTTGTAGAGGTTTGTCGACCACGTCCTCACAGATGAGAGCCTGGTACACGTCTTTGCTTCCCGCCACGTTCAACATCTCCTGACAGGCGTCCAGGGCGTCTATGTTGGTGAAACCTCGCTTCTTAAGCTGGGGGAGGGACAAGGAGAGAGGGTTGAATAGCAATTTTCTTTGTTTAAAGTTAAAACTTTTGGTCCAACACAAAAAATTCTCTCACCCAGAGCTTTCGACCAGTCACTCTGGTTCTTCCTCAGTAGACTGACCCAGTGAAGCTTGTCACGTGGCTTCTTTGAAGTGTGACTTCAACACTGGGTCTACTGAGGAAGACCAGAGTGACTGGTCGAAAGATAGAATTTTTTGTGTTGGACCAAACGTTTTAACTTCAAACATGTAACTACCAACACAGATGAATTTTCATGATAGCAATTTTCTTTGTTCACATCCAATTGTTTAACAAGAGCTAACGTCATTATCTTCATTAGGGCAATTATGACTAAGGTTGACTGTCAACTGAAGGTAATTTGCTACTGGTTCACTGTGCACTGATGAGGCTAATTGTAACACTTCAGTACATGTTGTCGAGAATGAAGCTAGAAACAGAAGAGTTTTATTTGTTATGTTAGTTAATGTTATTCAAAGAGGCAAAGAAAATGATTCACTTTGCACTGAGGCTAATTGGTACTGATTCACCGTGCACTGAAGTTAACTGTTACTGGTTCACTGTGCACTGAAGCTAGATGTTTACTGCAAAGTGAATGAAGGCAAAATGTAATATAGTTTTTCTACGGATAAAGCACGCGTGTCTGTAAGCAAAGGCTTAGGCTTCGGCTCATTTTGGACATGTCTTAGGCATAATAAATTTATCGGGCTTTTATTTTGTGCTTGTATCTTTTTTTCACGCTAGCCAAATGGTAAATGGCTACTGCTCTGCCAATTTGATACTGAATGTGATACACCAAAAGAACTGTGTGCAGATTAAAGCACACGTATACGTGTAACGGAGAGGGCCCTAAATTCGCCACTTTTCTTCTGAATCTTCTATTATTTAAAGGTCAATTTTAAGAGCCAAGAGATATTTTGCGTCTATATCATAAGAGTGGTTGTTTGACTTTTTAAATACGTGTTACTGCCATGGTATATGAAGGGCACAGCCTCGAATATCAATTACAAGGGCAAAGGTTACGAGTGTACATACCTCCAGTCCGCAGTACCCTGTTCCTGCGGCCACGTCCAGAATACGGACGTTTTTCGGCTTCTGGAGCCGCTGAAGCTCGTCTGCCAGAGCCGAGGCGCCCGCGCGAGCCGAGTCGTGCTTTATCAGCTCAAGGTCCTGGAAAAATGATGTTATTTTGTTTTAAAGTTGTGCGTAAAGTTTTAATATCCAAGCAGATCCTGCGATGGAAGGCGATATCCACTGGCTAGAGTAGTGGCTAATGGTCACTCCTTGGCTAATGGATACTGCCTTGCCACCACAGGATCTGCTTGGAGATTATTGTGTATTTCTATTGTTGTGTAGGATTCGATGGAAATGGAAAGTTTTATTTGTTATGCTTGTAATGTTATTTAGAAAGAAATGATAATGTTCCAATTATGTAGACATCCATCTGTTCTATAATTTTTACAGTTTGATCTGTTGACTGTAGAATAGAATTGTTCATTGACATTTTAAAATATTAACCACTCGATTGATTTTATATGTTTAATGAGATGCAAACAAGAACCACACACACACACACACACACACACACACACACACACACACACAGAAAGAGAAAGAGAGAGTTGTATATGGATATACATGATTCAGTCTAGTTTCGTGAAGTGTAATATTGTAATATTTTTGGTATGATATACTTTTAACTGATGAAACGCATTGAGATGGGACTCGTTTGATGAGATGTAAACAAGAACCATACAGAGAAAGAGAGAGAAAGAGAGAGCTGGATATACATGATTCAGTCTAGTTTCGTGAAGTGAATATTTTTAAGGACTTCAGTATGGTATTATTCAAAATGAAGTGCATTGAGATGGGGCTCGTTTAATCTTTAATACAAGAGTTCCACGATCTCATACCTTCGCCAAATGATGTTAACCCTTGCGGTTGAAGAATTATACAATTAATTTTGATAATTGATTTTGCAAATAAGACCCTCATTTGCATGAGTTATATCAGTTGATCTTATTCTCCACCCAATGACAGCTTTATCTTAACAAGAAGGCTATTATAGCACTTCCTCATAAATTATGCAAATGAGGTCATAATTTGAATAAATTAAGTTTATTGATGTTCGCCTTCACATAACTTCAAGTATGAAATTCCCAGCAGTTACAACTATGAAATTATGAACATTTCCCATGAATTATGCAAATTAGATCTTCATTTACATAATCTATATCCTCAGATGTTTTTTTCATTCTCAATTACATGTCACAAGTGTTTCATAGTCCTATTATCAAACAAAGCAGATTTATAGAATTTCCTCATTAATTATGTAAATTAGCTCCTGATTTGCATAATTGTCATTTGATTATGTCAAGCATCCCTTCAGCTACCTACATACCAAAAATCACGACAATCCGTCAACCGGTTCTCGAGTTATCATCCTTTGAAAAAAATTCAACAAACGCTCCTGCAGTTCCAGAACGAGCCGCTAGGGGGCCCAAACTCATGTCACTTCTTCCCCACCTCAAGAGCTATCTACCAACCAAAATTCGTGACCCTAGCATGTCCAGATCGCGAGATATCAAAACCGGAAGTTCTGCTGCAGTACCAACAAAAGCCGCCAGGGGGCCCAGAATCTAATCATTTCTAGGTCTCATCAAGACCTACCCACCTACCAAGTTTCATGACAATGCATATTAAGCTTCTTGAGTTATGCTGTTCACAAACAGACAGACAGACAGACAAACGCTACTGAAAACATAACCTTCTTGGCGAAGGTAATAAGTAGCTTAATGAAATGCAAACAAGAACCATACAGAGGAAGAGAGAGAAGGAGAAAGGAGAATTGTATATGGATATACAGGATTCAGTCTGTCTTCGTGGAGTGAAACATTATAAGGGCTTTACCAGTATGATCTTATTGAGAATGAATTGCATTAAGATGAACCCCGCTCACCTTGTCATAAGTGGATGCCCACTTTTTATACACGTCCAGCACATCGGCGTGCTTCACTCCAGACTTCTGAAACCCGCGAAACTTCTCCATCACCAGCGTCTGCGCCATCTTGGATGTCCTAATGTTAGCTCAAGTTCAGCCTTGTGTAGCGTTCAAATTCAACCTTGTGTAGTTGTGATGCCAGGTAAGATGTGAATCTATGTAGGCCGAGAAAAAATGAGTCAGGATCTGTCATTACTGAATCGTTTTGCCAAAAGACTAACTCCAGTAGAGCTCTCTCGAGTGTCAATTTTGTATGTAACTTTGTATATAGGGTTCAAATAAGCACAATTGGACGCAAAACTATGGCAAAATTACAGGAAAAACACAGAAAACACACATATAAAAACCTAAGACGTAGAAATTTTTAATAGATCCTCGCCCTTCATTCTCATTGGTTGAACTGCTTATTTTGATTGACAGCTAGCCTATTTTGATTGACAGCGACTCGGCTGCTATGGAAACTTGTATAGACTGGATAAAGTACAGAAAACCTGGGATTGACTGAGAACAAAATGGCGGCAATAGTTCATCCCTTAGCCTAAGCCAGGTTTTGATGAGTGATATTGCTATCGTGACTGTAGGGTCGCGATTTAAATTATACATGTGTTGCCTGTCATTGTCAGGTGAGAGGAAATGGCGGATCCGTCCATTCACTGCCGTGAATATCACTGAAGAACGTTTTATCCCTGTGAGAATAGCCTTTACCAGGCACCGCGGATCGCTGAAAAAATAGTAGAAATTGGCCGAAATAAAGGGATAGTATACCAGACAAGATCCAATTCGCGACCCGCGGGATCTTCTCTGGTATACAATCCCTTTATTTCTGCCAATTTCTACTATTTTTCCACGATCTGCGGTGCCTGGTAGAGGCTACTGTGAGACCGCGAGTGAAGGACGTCACAACAAAAGTAGAACAATGTCAAGAATTCTTCGGCGGTTTGGCGGGTCAACAAGCTTTTTCAGGTTCTGTGTGTACCAAATCAAGTTTCGGATTGACATGGATGAGCTTTGGGATGTCTGAGGTGTCCAAATTTGATAAGAGATTCTAAAGGGGTTGAAAGAGGGATAGGTGTTTCGTACCGCCCCCTCTAAATCATTGAATGGTATAACCCAGTCAGCCATTGTCAAAACTCAAATCCTGTCGTCAGTTATTCTAATTGAAGTGATGACCTTTTAAGGGGGTTCATTAACTGACATACTTTCACAAAATCTGCCCCTCCCCATTTTAAATTTGATCAATGATGCTATATTAAGAGGTTGATATGGCGTTTATGCTACCAAGGGGTGTCTACGATTTTTCAAAGGTTTGCGTCGAAAATCGACAAACAATAAATGCAGCAAACATTATACCAGCGATTTTGCAGATTATCAAAGATAAACATCTAAAGTCTTTGTGGTGAATCAAAATGAATGCTTGCTACCTACACCTTATATAAAAAGCAATGCAAGTGTCTAAACGATAATAATTTGTTCATGTCATTTCAATGCCCCATTTCGTGCCACTAGTAATGGAAATACTAAAATACGATTTGAAGTTGGCAGTTATGATATGCAAAAATCACTGTACAGTAAACGTCTAAGCATTTTGCAATACTCCGAAAAAAACCTACATGCTGTTATATAGTCTAAAGGACACGTATATCAGGTAGGAATGCATGTAAGTAGTGATACTGTGCGTAATAAGGTGTTATATATAGATACTCGCCGCATTGCCACAATTACTGCTTTTGAGTCCTACCAACAATGGCGTCATCATTACCTGATTACTAGCCACGCCGAGAACGGCCAATTAACACCTTCTGCGAATTCTGAGGCAGTGAGTCAGGGAATATATATTTTATAAACTTATCGTTCTCCGGCGTATTTTCCGTGGTGCATTCAAAGTCGAGCGTAGTTTGAAAACATGACCTTGCAGAGGCCTTAGATTTTCATACCTGGCACATGCCATACTGCCCCTCCCCCTCATTAACAGTTACTGAAGACATAACACACATGTATCCGTGTCTTCACTACTGGTGAAGTCTTTACCTTCCTACGAAAAGTGCGCCGAAGATTCGACAGTAATAAAACGGAATGTGAACGGGAACAGGTTAATACATACCTGGCGTTCTCTCACGTTCCAAGAACCACTGGTACGGTTGTTAGAAGTAAGCCCTCGCTCTGTCAGGTCGCCTAGCCACTAACTGCTAGGCGTGGCGGGGTTGTGTATGCGTGTGTGTGGAGAGGTGTAAAAAAACCCGGGGAAGTCGCCGGGTCGGTTCTGCAAGGTTGGTCGCCGGTGTCAGGCCGCGGGGCATGCGTGCGTGTTTATTTGTCTGTGTCGGTTGTATCATTATCTGTTGATACTGTCCATGCATATAGGATTAGGCATAGGATTATACTACTTATTCGATATATTTGAATTATGCTTAACCCGTCTATATTGATTGCCTATTCTGTGTATTTTTATACTTGTTGTTATTGACCATGTAAATTTTGATGTTGTATAAAAATTATGTGTTTTTGTATGGGGGAGGGCAACTTGTAAAGGTGCGTAGGCACCAGTTTTGCCCTCCCTTTCACTAAATGTTAAAAATCAAAATAAACAAATAAAACAAGTAGCCTTTTGCTTAATTTTTGGCGTGTTTTAAGCGTTTTATTTGGCTTTCCTTTTTACCTTTTATTACGCCAGCCAAATGACAAATGGATACTGCCTTGCCAATTTGGTACTGTATAGCCAATTTGATATATAACAAATTACCCATCCACCCACCAAAGATCTGCTTGTAGATTAGTGCAGTTCACAGTTTGACCGATAGGTTTCAGGGAGATTTAGTACTAGTATTTTGGGAAGATTTGTAAACGATTTTTTTTTATTTCAGGCTTTGTGTGTGTGTGTGTGTGTGTGTGTGTGTGTGTGTGTGTGTGTGTGTGTGT